TGCGGATAGTCCTCTCTCTCAGGGCACAAAGGTTTTCCGGTCAATGTTTTATCTCCCATCAGCCCAAAAAAAAAAAAGTTTTATGTACACTATCTCCATACAATTTTTTTTATACTAGCAGGATTAGATCATACTATGTAACAAGAATTTAAATTTAAAATTCAAATCATATACACGTGACATAAATTGTTTGTATTAAAAAAATCGCTATACCATCAATATATAAAAAGTTATCGCAAAAACAGATGCTAGTAGATTATAGACACGAAAGAATAGACTATAGGGTGGTCAACAAAATACTATTAAGAAATAGTATTCTGTTTCTGTACGATAATCTAATATGTCTTCCTTCAAGAAATGGAGTCATCAATTTTTTTTTTTTGTTCACAGATGTGGAATTTAGCGTCTCAACTTGTTCGGGAATGATAATTTGCGATTGCTTGTATGGTTAGTTCTTCATGTTTATAACTCTACTAAACTTTGAAAAAGATATGAAGTAAACATTAGCGGCCACTAGTATTCAGCCACACTTTCTTATAACGTGATCAATGATTTCATGTCTAGCGGATTCATTGTTCATCATTCACACCAAATTTCTAGATGTTTGGAAACTTGAACAATTCATGAGTATAGACGAAGGAACCATTCAAATTTTGTTCTTAACAATGACTACAAGTCTACGTAAAATGCCCAAAAATATCTACCATAGAAAGAATGATGTGCATATGTAAGTAATCCCTCATTTATAGTTCAATGTAGTATGAAGGGTGAAATTCACGCCGTGTGTGAGATCCACAAAAATTTGTTCTAAAATTACGTCGTGCAAAGAAAGTTACACCGTGTGCAATCAAAGTTATGCACAGTGAAAAATACACACAATGAAATTCTTGATGCAGGTAATTCCAAAATGAGCCAAAAAAAAAAAAAAGGAATTCTGTAACTTGAACTCTTCAAAACTCCAGAGTCAATTTTGTCAATTAAATGATCCAACTCAAGATGTGGCCATAATGTTGGATATTAGGATTGACAACTCCCACAAAATTAGTGGCCAGATTAGAGCTAAATCAAATCCCGTTAATCAGTCAAAAATTACTCCTCCTATATGCTCTAAAGCTGCTGAATTTGACTACTTTGGTCAGCATAGAATATGAGTTTTAAAATAAATCATGGCATGAGGGCAATAATTAACTGCATGTGTGTGGGAATATTTTATCTAGACGACCTATTTGTTTACGTTTCTTAAACGGCAATCAAAAGATTTTGTTTCTAGTTTCTACCTTCCAGCAGCGGACTAAAATGTAACTTCTTATCCAAACATACTTGAGACTGCGCACGTGGTTCAATTACTCTCCTACGCTTCCTGCTAATTTCCCAGAACCAAAATTCCACAAATAAGACGTGGACAGCTAAAACTGGATTACAAAATCACTTCTTGCAGCCCTAACTTAAAAGGAAAAAAACAAGAATTAAACCCCTTTCCCATGCCTGAGAATAGAAAGTTCTGAAGTCTACATCTTGTGCAACAAGACATTTTTTTTTTGGGGGTAGATGCACGTTTCATTTTGGATAATGGAAAAAAAAAAGAGATACTAGTAGGTTTCTTGAAAGAGGGATGATCCTTATCCATATGAACTAGGGGTGTCAACGAGTCGAGTCGAATCGAGTTTCGATCTAATCGAGTCGAGTTTTAACATAATTTGACAACGCTCGAACTCAAGTTTGAGATCGATAAGCTCAAAATATCAAGCTCGAGCTCAAGTTTGATGCGGGATTCGATTCGTTTGCAGTCCTAATATGGACCACTCAAGTTATAGCACAAATGTAGATTGTAGATCAAATAGTAAAAATTTTCAATCTATTTCATTCCTAAAGTAAGAGATGATTTAATTTAGCCTCTTGAAATTGCAATCAAAGCGATTGTGTCCACACCTCTCCATCTCAAATCTTAAACCTTTGATGTAATGATGACTTGCGCTATTAGCAATGAAAATTGTACAGCATTAGGGTTAGAATAGATCAGCTTGTGTCACAAACGTATTTCATGAGAGAAAAACAGAGTCTTCATTAAGGATGACATAAGCTAGTTTTGGCGTAAATCTACCAATTCCCAGTTCTAGAAATTGATGCTAGCTTCAAAACAAGCAGTTAAATATTGGAAAACAAAAAGAAATTTCATGTGGATTAATGTAGAAGTTTTGAGGCAGTCACACAAATGAGATCCACTCTGACTACAACATATTCGGGCTGAAACATCAGAAAAGGTCGTCCTAATGTATGCGTGGAAGAAACAGTAATACAGTTTCTCGTTTATTTTCCTACCAAATTCATTGCCACACTCGTTGCACAAGTCAATAGAGTTGCCTGCCACGGTTTCTTGAAGATCTTTAAAAAAAAAAAAAAAAACTTTTATAAATCCCTCCACCCTCAAGAAAGAAATCCAGGAAAATAAAAAATTTTAACATAATTAAATTTCATGACGAGGTCCTAAATGACAGTAATTAATCATTTGAAAATCAGAGAGTCATTTGTCATTCTGCCCTCCCCTTTGCTGGTGGGATTACTATACGCTTTGAACCAAAACCAGAGCCACAAGTTGAGTCACTTGACAACTTGCAAGCAACTTAATACCACGTTTGGTTATGTTAATCAACTGCACTTTCCTCGAATTAATTCAACAAACAACAGCTTCTCTTATTACGGGTTTGATCCATATATAGTGTCTAATTAACTACTAATAGGTAGTATGAACTCAGAAAAAACGATATTAGAAGTGCATGCGCCTTACCCTTAATACAATTAACAAAAAGAAGTGCATGCATGAACCTTCTGAAATTTTGTGGACTTTGCATGTTTAACAACAAGAAGAAGAAATCATGAAGCTGAAAATAGTAGTATAATGGTTGTCAAACAATAGCGTCTCAATACGCATCAATACCATTATACCACAAACACAAGGATATCAATAATGTGTATAGATACATATTTATAATGACAAACCTTTCTGAATTTTTTTTTTTTTTTTTGGAGGTGGTCCGAAATTCAGTTTCTTAGTTTGAATAGGCTCAACTATTAGGAAAGAATTGAAGTTATCCATATTTTTTGAAGAGAAAATGAAAATAAGGGAATCTCATCTACTAATCAATTGAAAGAGATGATGATGTCGCTGCATTTTGTGGCGGGTGAATTTCATGTCAATAAATAATGTTATTCGTAATTGAGAGAAGAGGTTCAATTTTTCTAAAGTCCAACTTAGCTCCTATTTGATAATCCAATTCAGTACTTAAATTTAATGGATTCAAAGTTTAACACGTTTGATAATAAAAAAATAGAACATCTGAATTAATTAAATGGCATCCAATTTTTTAAATAAAACTTGTTTTAAAAAATAAGTGATAAAGTATTAACTTAAATACAAATATATATCGACGGTGTGTATTATTGATCAAGTTACGAGTGACTTGAAGAGATATAAAATGGAGAAAAAGTTGCACAAGTGGACCTGTGTTCATACACTGGTCAGAAGAAAGCGTTGTTTCTTATGGCATCAAAATGAGTTCTTTATTGTTTGGGGTCCAAGAAGATTAATATGCATGGTCCCCTAATTCTTTTTTAGAGCCACGCTTTTGTGCTCTACGGACAAATTGACCACGCGGGCTGTCAACTAAGACCGCTTCATGCATACATCGAAGTAGCCAGCTAATGTGGCCAAATCAAGACGTCTCCATCATTTTTCAGGTTCTTTGTTGCCCTCAAGTCCAACAAAAGAATCAAATAAAAAGACCGGAAAAATATGAAAATTATATTTGACTGTAACACTTTTTATGTAACATTTTTTATGATGTGATGTACGTGAAATTAAAAAAAAAATAGATGAAAAATATACTTCTAATGCAGGTCAAATATTATTTACAATAATTTGCTATCCAAAAACACTTTCAGTATTGAATTTGAAGATGAAAATCTCGTGTGAACAGATTTTATTACGTTCCATCCACAATCGTTTTCAAGGTTTTGAAAAGTTGGAACTTATTCCTGCGTTGATGTTTTCTTATTTTCAATGCAAAGTTCCACGAAATCTTTAGCTTCATCACCAAAGACGAGGAGCATTTACTTTCTAGAACCGGTTGTTTTCAGAACTAGGCAAATGATCGAATCAATAGTTTACAGCTCTCCTTGTTACTACTTTTCTTCTCGAGGAAACTCTGTACAGATAATTCCTACATTAGCTGCTGCAGCACAATCTAGCACGCAAGATCAAAAGAACTAGGGAGCAAACAATAGGAAATGCAATCTCCCTCCCCAGAGTCAAGACTTCCTTTCTTCCTGGCTTCTTCCTCACCCACGCCACGAGCAGGTGCCACCCACCCCTTGTTGTAGAGTCAAAGGGTGCTGAGCCCCGGTGATTGACCAGCAGCTTATATTTGTCTCTGAAGCTATAGCTGATTCAAACCATAGGCGATGACTGACAAGACAGAATACTCGCTTTACAGCCTTTTCGACAAGCCTCTAGAATTGCTGATCTAAATATGCTCCAACAGGGGAAAGAGTACAATAACTCATCTAAATTGGAACTGAGTAAAGTCCATCACGAGTCAAATACCCCGAGCCTCACCAGTTAGATGACCCATTGGGATGGAAGATGAGGAGCAAAAAGAGCACTAACATACCTTACCACCATCTACTGCTACAGAGTTACAGATCTTTTTTGGACAAAATAAGCTAAGAGGGTTTTCATGTCCTGATGTCTGGTCTCAAGCACAGGAATTTTACTACAGGAACTGACTAGCTGCGGATATCAGCATTCAACAGTTGGTTTATGCAGGACATTAATAGAACCGTCTTCCTAGATAGCGAATGGGTGAATTCGACAGAGATTTAACATTTTAAGTTCAACCAGTGGTTTCATATCTACAGAACTTTAATCATTTCTTTTCCATTATGGAAAAAGATCATATGCAGTAGCAAGCAACTATGTGGCATCACACAAATAACAGGTATCCTCTAAGGACACAATGGCAAGAAATAAACATGCAAGAATTCTACTCACAATCATCAAAAATGTGGACTACGCTGTTTCTGTATAATCGCGGAAACAAAATAATCCATCATCCATTCTGGTAAAAGTGCTCAGGATTGCGACAATCCTTAAGACTGATTAAACAGAGAGTTAAGAGAGATGCTTGATAGCAGGAAAAAAGGTACTATTGCCAGAAAGATGGAAATACAATGAGGAAGGCGTGTTTCACCCCTCCTCCATCAGGACAAACTTCTCTTCCAACAAAATTAGCGCTAAAGTCCCTCCCAATCTTTGGTTCCAAAGATCAGCTAGTGCAGAACAGGGCGGGGAATGCGGGGCCTAACAGGTGTCTTTGAAGGACTCACCCTACAATGTCAGAATCATATTAACATGCCAAATTTCAAGAACTGAGAATCTTTGGCAATTTTGTCACTCCAATGATAACTTTACCTAATGCGCTGGGACCCCAGTATTTCACCGCAACAGTCCAGCGCCACAATTGCACTCTCAGCCTGCAAATTAAAGAACGTATTACTTTTCCAATGTGCTATATATTTCACCTCTAGTATAGATGTTCTAACTTCATCATCTAGTAACCATCATGATGGTACATGAAAATGATTTCGGAAGGTGATGAAAAATGTCATAAGAATCTGCATCAATATGTAGACAAAATCATAATTGGAAAAAACTGACAAAGACAGGCCAACAGAATCAACTTCATTTGTCGGTGCAATAAAAATCCTATTCATAAGCATCTGTCAAGTTAGTCATCTTCCTCTTTAACATTTGTTAGCAGCTGCTTTTCTCTACACCTGACTTGCTAACTTCCACGAACTTCTGACTTGAAAACAAGAACAAATGAATGATGTCTCAAATGCATCTCAGACATTGCATTTGTCATATCATTGATATATTGGCATTCCCAAAAAGGTTGATAATAGGACAGATTATTTTGAAAGTTTTGGAGTACCTTCAACTCAAGTAACCATACAAAAACTGATTAGTTTCATGCTTTGAATTCCAATTTATCCTACCAAAAAACGTTTCCAAATTTTAACATTGCCTTAAAAAAAAAAAAGACAACCCTATGGTAACTAGTGTTAATTTGTTCTCTTAAAACTATATAACTAACTTCAGTCTGGTATTAAGGCATAGTGAAACTAACATATATGAATAAGTATTTTCAAAACACAAAACAAGAAAGAACCTGCAGGAAGCCTAAGTAATATCTATCATCTCAACAAAAAATAACATAAAACTGCAGTGAATTTCCCAAATAGCCAAGTGCCTTCCAAGCTTGCCTGCTTGGAAGATCAATGGTTCAATTCTCAGCCTCTCTAATGTATCCATATGTCCCATGCCCACCTCTCTCATCATCGACATAAACAAACAAATAAACAAATAAATAGAATATAACTGGTGGAATAATTGCAAAGTTTCTTCTGTAGAATATAACTGGTGGAATAATTGCATCATAAACCATAAAAAGACCCTGAAAACTATCAAACATGGTTTAGTAAACAAGCTTCAAGTTGAGGACCCAAAATTTCACTTTGCACACCCTCTTACACTGTCCAGTCACATATACTTAAGCACTCGTACAGTCACATATACTTAAGCACAGTTAAAGAAATACAAAATGCAGAAATTAACGGTATAAACAAGAATTAATCACTTGAAGAGAGTCTTATTGTTCCAAAAGAATTAGCATCTCTTGTTGTTGTTCATAGTTAACAGTGTAGTGCAAGTCACTCAAAATGAGAAATTTGATCAGAAGGCAGTTCCATAAAGAAGCTAGAAAGATATCAACTCAAGAATTTGTATTCTTCAACCCAAACATAAATCTGAAGAGGAAGGGGAAAATCCTTAATAAGGTGGCAAAGTGATAAATGTTCCCCTCCACATCCTCAGCCTTTCAAGGGGATGGGGAAATAAGGAGAACAATCTGACTGTACATGTAATGCACTATATTTGCGCAACATGAGCTCATGAAGTATGAAATTCCAACTCACACCAGCTCAATGAACATAATACTTGGCCATCTGTCAACTTAGATGTTAAAACATTCCTTGAAACATACCAAAGTCTAAAAAAAGGAGATTGCTATGCACATTTGTGAAAAAAAAAAAGAGCTAATAAAAGTGGTATGAAAAATAATACATCAGAATAGAGCTTGCACAACAGAAAACAAGTAAAATAAATTGTTCTAATGGTCAGTGACTTCGTTAGGTGAAAGACATGGAAAGAATGAGGTATTATCATAAAGCAAAATCTACAGTTGTCTGAGTGACAGATTCAAGCATGTACAAGCCAGGTTCGCACCAATGATCTTCCACATTTCATCATCTCACTTTGCCAAAACCCAGTTATACAAATTGAAGCATGTAGAAAAGATGCAAAAGTATAAAGGATGGATAGTGATCTATTTACATTAGCAGAAACAGAAAAGTGAGGAAACAAATCCAATGTTCCATTCACAATTCCCTTCTTTCGTAATTTTTAGGTAAAAAAATGGTACATCAAAACATACCATAGAAAACTCAACAAAAGCAATGCGAGTTGAGTGCACATGGTCTCCCAAAAGCCTCAGGCGAGAAACCTGTAACAAAATAACTTCTAAGGTCAATGAAGAGGATCCCTTCGTTGATAACTTCAAAACAACCATAATACAGGAGGAAGTGCTTTGCATCTTACTGACCTCACCGCATCTAGTTTCAAAGAAGTTCTTGACATCAGCTTGAGACACCTGTACAGGACAAACTTCATTAATCCTTCATCAAAGACAAATAAAACAATCAGGTCATACAGATGCAACAACTTCGCAAGCTAGACAGTGCAATCTGCAATAAGCCATGCATGATAAAGGACACTTATGAAAATACATGAATTAGTAATATCACATCAAGATTTATAATATCCCGGTACAAGGAATTGAAGATATACCTTTTTATCAATATTTGTACAGTAAACTGTCCTAGCACACATTTCGCGTTCATCCTCCGACTATACAGAAAGAATCCATAAAGTCAAAGGAAGTCAAAGTCACAATTTGAATACACTTTGAGTAAATCATATTGCAAAAAGGTACTCGTACTAGCAACAGCAAATGCTAAAGATTTTGTTCATACCCTTGGAAGAAATGTAGGATTCACTGGAAGGATAGCAGTTTTTGAAGGTAACACCTTAACTGGAGAAAATCCTAACATCGTCCCACAAAGGTTAAGAGCTGCTCGAGCAGAGTCTGTTGAAGTTAAATCCATATAACATGTCAGAGGTATAAAGTTAAACAAATGCGTGGGCAGCTATATTGACAAACAAATATTGATGAAACAACATTCTTACATTCATCAGAAAACTCAACGAAAGCAAAGCGAAGGCGGGAGTGAGGATCACCACAAACTCGACAATCAACAACCTGCAAGACAAAAAGGATACCCAAACAAAGAAAAAACATAAGCATATAACACCCAAGTCAATTTTAACTTATACAGTCTCATTTTTTGTTAAATTTTAGTTAACGTCCAAGATTGCACCATTAATGCCAACAATTGAAATAAGCCAGTAACTTACTTGGCCATAACCACTAAACAAGGCAGCAAGTTGCTCTTCAGTGATCTAATTTAAAGAAGTTAAGAACCACATCAGCACATATTTTGGACAATATAAAAGTCAAAGAAATGACAGTTAAACTAAATAGCCTTCCATCATTTCCTACATTGTGATCAATGTCTGAAACATAGACAGTTCGCCTGATGCTATCTTCTCTTTGGGCTCTAAAAGCCCTACCATTAAATCGCCTCCGGCCCTGACTGTAGTTATTTCTTCTCTGCAAACACAAAGATTGTATGGTGAGAATATTGAACTCTTATCTAGGTACAAGGAGAGTGAATCAAGATAATAAGATCAAATCCATAACAACTTTAGCATTTTTAAGCAGTGAACACATTTAAAATAGAAAAATGACAAGCGAAAGCAGAAACACATCAAGGCTAATAATATACAAGAATATCAATACGGACAATGATCTCGATGACCATCACAACCGAACACAAACAGATTCTTGCTTCTGCAGTATTCTTTGACGAGATAAAGGAAGTCAATCAGCAGAAAATATCAAAAGAAAAAGAACCGAGGTTTTAAGCATAGTTAATGTTTAAACAAACACTGCTCATAAAGCTGGCAATTATCACCAAGACGATAACCAATCTAAGGCAACAGACATACTGACGGCATAAACCTATGTGCATTAGATAACTAAAGCCACATCAAACTGTTACAACATAACACATAGGTGGATGCAAATGAAAGAACTTCGAAGACCGTCCAACAAGAACAACTTGCAAAGCAGAATATCTAGCATATGTGAGTTAATATAAACTTAATCTTGGTGGTCAACCTACAGTCTAACTTGAACAAATTCAAATGTTAATTGTCAAACTTCAGAAACCAACAACCCTGTGTCAAGCCTAGTTTAGCAACAAAACAGGGGAAAGATCACCAAAACCAATATATATCCACCTATAAAGTACCAAAAATGGATAGCACACAAACATAAATACTAACTAAGATACCATTTATCATAGACCAAGTTTAGAAATTCATATCTTGTGTTGAAAAAGTCGACAGGTAAAAGTTAAGCATTCACTCTGCATCAAGTAATGTTACCAAATGAATGCAGACTACAAGCCAAACATTAACTTCACTCCAAAACCGCATTTCCATAGAGAAATCCCAAAAAAATTATTCCTTACAAAGCATTTACATAATCTAATTCCGAACTGATTGAATGTTAATCTTCCAACTTCTCCTGCATGCCTTTTTAGTACTCTAGTTCAAATCACGCATGGAGTAACATTCTGATGATATGCTGTCTACTTATAGATAGGTTAAAACCCCAATGCATGATGCTTCAACAACCAATATAACTCAGGGTAGGGCTACAGAAAGTATAGAACTTGCCCATAAGAAATCACAACTGCAGTGTCAGTTTCACAACTAGAATGATACTGAAATTTGCGGATAAAAATATCGGGGCAAAAATTAGATTCACAAGCATCCCAAAAAAACCATAAAAGACAAGCAATAAAATTGATAAAATCAACAAGCCAAAAGAAAAATTAAACAACAAACAGAAAATTGAATTTATACCCTTCGATTGTTGGGGAAACCATCATTGCCCCAATTCATATTAGCTGGCACAAAATTAGTCACTCCCATTTGATCACGGTAATATGAAGAAGGAAAAAATTCCTTGGCCAGTGGATTCAACTTCAGTTTCTTCAACATATCAACTATATCTTGCATTTGGAGTTCTGATTTTGAATTCGAATTATTGGAACTCGAATCAGACTCCTTGGCACCATTAGTTAAAGGAGCAGATATATCATTCATTCTGGAATTAGAATCAACATTATTTTTTGAAGCAGCAGTTGTTTCATCTGGCTGAACAGCAACAGGAGGGACCTCCACCACCGCTGTCTCACCAGAAACTTCTGTCCCAGCAGCCATGGAAGCAGAACCTCCTAAAATAAATAACCCCAAAACACCCAAAAAAGGAAAAACCAGAAAATTACTCTAATTTTCTCAACAGAACCCAAGAATTCCAATCAGAAATAAAGTTCCTATCTTTATCCTCCTCCTCCTCACTAAAAAACCCAATCTTTATATCTCTCTCTTATATATAAGAGATCAATCAAGAAAGGGTTTTTCAGATTTGGGTGATCTTAATAAATAAAATAAAAAAAAATCTTGGTGAGATTTTCGGTGCAGATGCCTACAAAGCCAATAAATAGAAACCCATTTGGGGAAAATGGTCAGAAATGGAAGGAAAACAACAAAAGGAATTACAGGAATAGCAAAAAAAAGGGAATTTTAATTAAAGGGTTTTTATATATAATAAATGTGATCACAGGTGGAAGTGGTTTTAGGTGATGGTTTGTAAATGTATTAACAGGTGGCTTTGGCTTTTCTCTACCCTGTGTACTTTTGGTGAGAGAGAAAGAAAAGAAGGACGGGAGAGAGGCTGAGGGGGCTACAAGTACCCAATTTGCAGTCTACTACTATATGAATAATATCACTGTGCGAGTGTGTGTCAATATATTGTGCAGAGAGAGACGGGATGGGGGGTTGAATTTAAGAGCGTATTAAAGTGAGTGATGAGGGACGTTAAAAATGGGGGAAGAAAGAGAGAAGAGAAGAGAGTGCTAACGTAAGATGACACCAGCCTTCTGCCTGGCTTTTGTTACTTTCTGAGTAACATTGGATATGGGTTTTCATATATCATCGTAACTGCCTCTTTCTGGGGTTTGTTGGGATTGTAATTTTATTATCTTTTCATTTTTCTTTTTGCGTGATTTATCTCCTCACTCATTGCTTTTCTTTTTGTTTTTTTTCTTTTGGTTTTTGCCGATGTTATCTCTAGATTCTGCTACTAGTACGTTTTGTAGTGATGGTTGAAATAGAGGAAGGTGAGTTGCATCAAACATACGGCATTTACATTTGCGTCACATCCACTCTGTAACTGGAAAAAATGCAATGCAGTTAAATCTTTGAAACTTTTACATAAGTGACTATTATGTTTTCTTTTGACAGGTAAAATGAAGCTAACATATGATGGTTTTCTCTTGACGGGGAAAGTGAGAAGGTAATTCCATGATACATAACATTTATGCCATATCACTGTCTCATTGAAAAGACTGCAACGCAGCTAAAATTTTGAGATTTTTATATAAGTGACTATCGTGCAGGATATATTCAGCAATTTCATTATTAAAGTTCTTGTTTTATCCAAAAAAAAAATTAATTATTAGTATAAAGGTAACTATGCCAAATCAACACAAATCAACACGTCACTCTATATCCATTTTATCATTCTAAAATGGGAAACCAAGTGCACATATGGGATTTGCATCACATTGCTTTGTAATTGAATAAATACAGCTAAAATTTGATACTCTTATTGATGTGATTACTATATTCATTACGATGTCATGGTCTATCCTACTATGTTTTCTCTTAATAGGTAAAATGGGAGGGTAAACATATAAAACATAACATTTACGATACATCATTTTGTAATTGAAAAGATTATAATACAAAAGAATTTGAAATTCTTAAAGATGTGACTATACAGGGAAAATCGTTCAAAATATTTCACCCAAAAAATTTTTACATACTTTGTTTTTTAAAATATTAACTTTATATTCCTTACAAATTTAAGTTGGTAAAAATGAATGTAAATTGAGTCCGATTTCACTTTTTTAGGAAAAATGAATATGGCTCGGATCAGATTCTACTTTTTTTTATGGACAAAAATGAATATGGATCGAGTCATTTATTTAATTACAAATACGATGTAACCTTTTTGCCCATAAAAAAATGATCATGTGTGTTTCACGTGATGTATTCAAGGTAAAATATGGTAAAAAAAACGTAGGTTGGGACAAAATTTTACCTACTTGATTTTTTGATGTATATAAAGTTGCCATTTTAAAAGTAAAAGACAAAAAAATCATTTGATGAAATGTGAAAGATGTTTTAAACAATTTTTCCAAATCATTGCTACAAAGTTAGATCTGCTGACTAAACACGTAACTTTATATCCATTTTATCATCCTAAAACGAAAGTTTGATTACTTTATGAACCTTCACTCTTCAAATCAATGTTACAACTAGGGGTTGCAAATGAGTTAAATCAAGGCAAGTTTTGGTCTTATCAAAGCCGAATTAAACTCAATTTTGTCAGGTTCGAACTCAATCTTGAGCTCGACAAACTTTCATTCTAAAATTCAATCTTGAACTCAAGTTCGAACACTAGTTTGAGCTTAATCAAGCTCGAGTTCGAACTTATTTGAGCTCAAGTAAAAATTTTAAAATATATATTTTTTATTTTAAAAAAAATATAAAATAGACATTTCATCTTAGTAACTAATAAAAATATAAGAGACATACATGCATTTTTATCACTAAAAATATAAAATATTTAAAATATATGAGCTCGATCTAGCTTGACTAGCCAATGAGTGAATATTTAACTCGATTGGCACACCAATCCAACTCAAGCTCGATTCGAGTTCAGTGTTAATTGAGCTCGAATTTAATTTTAATCAAACCGACTCACGAACGCTTGCTAGCCGATTTGAGTCATTTACACCCCTAGCTATAATCATGACTCTTCAAAAACTAATTATTGAAAATTTTCTTGAACATTTCATGTTTTTCTTTACCATCTAAAGTGTTTAGTTCCAGTTGATCTTGTTGAGTGCAGCAGTAAATTTTTCTTGCTTTTGTGACACGGAAATATTTTTTTCCCCTTTTGTCGCAATCAAGAGTTTTTCGAATTCCATCTACATCTCAAACTTGCCTTACACTAGATGCGGTCAAGGGCCTCGAGGCACATTAATGTAGAATATGTTCGTCGCAAAGGTGTATAGGGTAAAAAGGAGGGAGTCTCCAATAGCCAATGGCTCACATATTCTACACTTTCGAACTTTAGCTAGTGTGACTGGATTCGCGGCTGTATATGGCAGAGGCCTCCCAGGCCTTACCACAAGAATCCCACATCGATCCTTTCGGGGGTTAAGGGTTAGGTTATTAGTTCTCTGGGTAGCCTCAAGAGTTGCTGGCTTTTGAAGTAAATATCTGGAATTCAGGGTTAGTAATTTAATTCTGATTTCTTCATTGAAAGAAAAAGAAACACAAGAATCCCACATCGATTCTCGAGGGGGGGTTAAGGGTTAGGTTATTAGTTCTCTGAGTGGCCTCAAGAGTTGCCGGTTTTTTAGGTAAACACCTGGGATTCAGGGTTAGTAATTTAATTTTGATTTTTTCGTTGAAAGTATACGGGGTGATTTTATTGAATTTAGATTTGGAAAAAAAATTTCAATCTAAATATTCTTTAAATGCTTACATGGTTAGTTAATTTAGTGGTATATATCGTCTAAACATTGAAGTAAAAATGGGAAGTGACTCAATCAAAAAAACCCAAAAAAAGAAGAAAAAGGCAAAAAAGTAAGAAAGAAAGGAAGAAAGAAAAGCTGAAGGGTAGCTTTGGCATAATGGCACTGGAATTTTGATGCTAGATGGTGGGGCGTGATGGTGATTGTACATATTCTTGTGGTCATATGTTGTGATGGCATCAATGCAAAGCTGCATTTGAGTGCGTATTGGATTTTTCTTCTGGAATGATGAATGTAGCTTCAAAAGCAAATCGAAAAAAATGGTTCATCACGAAAAGGAAATTATCCAGAGCAAGAGAAGTTCCAATTGCACAAGTAAAATCCAGATAAGATTAGAGATCAGCTTTCAATTTCATTAATAAGGTCAGAATATGTTTTACATTATTGACATGCTTGGAGGATAATGTCTATGCCGTGCATGCTGTATTCCTTTAATAGATTTGTTGCTTAAAATGAATATGTGCTCGAGGATTTCATACGACTTTAATACAACATAATTGAGGCAGTCTTCAATCGCAATACTTAATTCATTCTAATATACAGACTTTTAAGTTAAAATTGCATTTACTAGCAATATAATCAGCGACGTAAAATATAAATTACATGAAGTTAAATAATTATAATTTATTTTTAATCTATTCTCAATTTTGATATGAGATTCAAAAAAAAAAAAATCCTTACACAATTGGTCAAAAGTCAAAGAATTGTTAAAGTATCTTAAAACAATTGGTCAAAGTATGACATCGGCCTGGACTAATAGTAAAGTACTAGTAGTACAGGTTAATTAATAATGAGCTCCGCTGGCCACCCTTTGATAATTACGCTTGGTTCTAGCAAATGTTTGTAGTAACTATGCGATGTAACCACAAAAATTAGTAGTTATCAAAAGGAAAACTAATGTATTTAAAAGTTGACATAATTTAATATAGGGTTAATTACAAAAACTCCCCTAAGGTATATCTGTTTTTACACTTTATTCTCTAAAGTTTTTTTTTTTTTTTTTTTTTTTTTTTACTTTGTCTCGACAACGATACATAATGGTAATTTTAAAAGGATATTTATACCCTTTATAGTTAAATGCAGTAATTCTCCTATCTTATTTTGCACTTTATCTTCTAACATAATTTTTTGCTAAATTTTTACAAAAAAATTAATTTTAAAAGGATATTTATACCCTTTATAGTTAAATGCAGTAATTCTCCTATCTTATTTTGCACTTTATCTTCTAACATAATTTTTTGCTAAATTTTTAAAAAAAATTTGCTGCATCATAAGCATGTTTCTCAATTATTTTTTTTTATTTTTAATCACTTTTTCATTTCACAAATATCAAATTACAAAAATGTATTATAATATTATTTTAAAAAATTTTCCAAATAATCTTCAATCCACACAAACTCAATCTATAGACCTTTAATAATTAATATTCTTATAGCGTACTTTTTCACTAATAATTTTTATTTTTCCCCTTGTCACGGGATATTTTCTTTTATCTAAAAACCTATAATTATCGAGATGAAATTTAACAAGACCTATATTTGTAAATGTACAGTAATTTTCATTATTATGTTAGGGATACTAATATTTTTAAACATTATCTATCTTAAGTGGTTTTACGAACAAATATACAGATCAAGAGAAAAATGATATTGGAGGGGTAAAGTGTAAAACACACTAAACCTTAAGAGGGTTTATTGGAATTAACCTCTAGAGGTATAAATGTCTTTTTGATACTTCCGTTTCCATTACGCAAGGTTAGAGTGGACTAACAGTTTTGGGGGGTAAAGTAAAAATAAATAAATAAATAAATAACGTTAGAGGGTAAATTGCAAAACTGATTTAACCTTGAGTGAGAGAGAGAGAGAGAGAGAGAGGGTTGTCATTTATCCTTTAATATAGTCTATCTTATGCATAAAATAGACTGGAACCAAATTTTTATGTTTTGATTGACAGTTGTGGAATATGGTACAGGCCCGTGGCTTCCGAAAGAACTATGGACAAAGAAGATGTTGACAATGAGAATCAATTGTCTGCCTCTATTACTTAGAGCTATTTTGTGTTCTTTTTCTTCACTTTTCTTCCTTTCTTTATTATTCTCAGCCCATGTTGTTGTTCGTGGAATACTTTTTCCTCTGTGGTTTCTTGGGGCCTCCATCTGGGGGAGGGGCTTCAAGCCATCAAGAAGATTAGTGTGCTATTGGAAAATCGAATTGTGTATAAAATTTCATCAACAGCTATCTTCAACGCCCCCCT